ACTCGACAGCACATAACAACAACAACAACATCACCTGCAAGATGTAAGCTTTTATATTTTCCAGAGGCACCTGAAACTCAACATATATAAAAGAGAGGCAATTTTCACTCTGGTGACATCCCCAGCCCAAACTTCCTCCAACTAATTTCCCTAATTTACATAATGGCACAATGATCTTCCTAGTCACCAATACCCATTGCCTAGGATTCAGACTTGGTCTTATCACACATATCCTTAATTCCTCACATTTAACTAACCACCACACTCTATTTAGGAGCTCTGGTAGCATAGTGCCTAAGGCACTTGACTGCTAACCAGAAAACTGGTGGTTCAAACCCACCAGCCACTCCTCGGAAGGAAGATGGGACAATCTACTTCCGTAGGGATACTGCCTCAGAAACCCAAGGAGGGGTCACTATGAGTCGGGTCCAACTCGACAACACATAACAACAACAACAACACACTCTATTATACCTTCTAAACATCTCTCAGATATGTGTCCTCCCTTCCATATCTACCTCTGTCCCTGGTTCAGACTCTGAGCATCTTTTGTCTAAACCCTGAAACAACCCCAGCTGTTCTCTGCTTCCAGTCTTTTTTTTTTTTCTCAAGTCATGGTTCTCCACAGAGCTGCCAATTATCTATGTCACCCCCAACTTAAAATTCTTATTTCATCCTAGATACAGTCTAGGTTCTTCATCCTAACACACAAGGTCCCTGCAGGTCTGGTTCCTGCCAGCCTTTCCATCTCTTGTCCCTTCCTACCACCTGTTTAATGCCCAAGACTGCAAATGTACTCCTCGGACTGGCGAACTTCTGACTGCAGGGCTATTTTATTTGGGCCACATGTTTTTATATGTCTTCAGTTACTTGTCAAATTTTTTAAAATGGAGTATTTCTCTTAAAAACCTGCTTTCTGGCTTCTCTTGAAAAAACTGGAAGTACTAACCACCCTTGGCAGGGAATAGAGGCTGAAGTTTTAAATGGTTCCCACCATTCCTATTGTTTTTCCTGGCTGTTTCCCTTAATGTAGGCATTTGAGTTTGCAGGTTTAGCTTTTTTTTTTTTTTCCTAGAGGTTTACTAGACAAATTGTCTAGAGGTTAGAATAGCTGTCTTTCCTGTACATATCACTGGCACATACTGATACTCTGCATGGGACATCCTTTCTCCCTTCATTACTTACAGAGGTGAACTCTTCCTTCAGCAGTTCCATTCACTTCTCTCCAGAAGTTTTTCTCTGAACCCACGATGGTCTCAGCGTCCTTTTCTGTATTCTTATAACACATCATACACCCTGTGTCACATCTCTTGCCACGTTCTACTCAGATTAAATGTTTGTATGATGCTTGAGTTCTTCACAAGGCTCACCCCACGCAGTAAGTGCCTGAAAATCTTCTGTGGAGATTTCTTGAACTATTCATTCCATTAATTCAATCTATTCTTCTTTCAACCACTGTGAAGAAAGAGCCCACCTAAACCCAGATTTTTAAAGGATGATGCAGAGGCTTCTCTAAGGTAGGGCAGCTACCGCACATGTGCCCTGGGCGCAACTTGAAGGGGACACCAATGAGCAGTTTCTATTAACCATCACAGTTTCCACTGCCAACTGTGAGAAATCATTCAGCAAGTTAAAACTAATATTTTTATATTTGAGAGACTCCATTGGTCAAGGCAGACAGTGTGATCTTGTTCCGCTGAGTGCAGAAAGAAGTTGGGGGGGGGGGGCGGAAATGACTTCGAGCACATCATAGACCAATTTTCATCAGTGAAAGCAAGGAAGGTGCAGTGGTAATTTTTCATGTAGCGCCATAATGTGGTAAGTGAAAAGGATTAACGAGCTTGATTTGTAATTATGAGCTGACATGGAAAAGTTACCTAAAAGAAGGGTGTCAGATGGTTGGACAGGGGCGCAATTTCATTGCTTGCCATAGGCGCTATTTTCCGTAGATATGCCTCTGGATGACTGTGCCCCTTGTCAAATACCTGTTCCCATCGTCTCGTTTTGTAGCAGCACAGTGTCACAGAGAACTGTAACTCCTAACAAGTCCTTGGGATTCCCAGTAGTTACCAAGGAGGAAATACAGTTTATGAACTACCACTCCCGTGATACACTGCTCCCCGCGCTTGCGCAGAGCTCAGAGCCACGTCGCTTTGGCGGCGACAGAAACCATACTCTTCAGAGACCACGTTCGCCATGGCTTCTTCGGACTTGCATCCGGTGAGGGATGACAGCGGTGTTGGAGGCTTCCAGCCCTACCTAGACTCCTTGCGGCAGGAACTTCAGCAGAGAGACCCGACGCTGCTGTCAGTAGTGGCGGCGATTCTCGTGGTGCTACTGACGCTGGGTAAGAGACTAGCGGATGGTTATGGCGGGTGCGGGACGTACGGGGTCCGGGCTTCGACTACGTCCTGCAGTCCGCGGGGGCACTTTGGTGGCGGCTAGAGAGGGGCACTAACTCATTTTACCAACACTGCCTCCCTTTTTTGAGTTATACACTGCAATATAGGGTGATCCTCGGCGACTTCTGGAGGCAAGTCCTAGCCCTTATAACTTACTGTTCATTTATCGGCCGCTGTATACCTGTTCCCCCACTTTCTACTACACTTAACTGCTAAGAATCATAGGCTCTTTATGCCACCATTGAGTTTACTGTTTTTTTGGGGGGGGGCTGAGCGTTGGGGTCACAAAGATAATAAGCAAGAATGCATTCGAGTACACCACAATCAGGGTAGGAGGTGCAGACCCAGGAAAGTTGCCAGTTCATAGTAACTGGTACACAATGGGTCCCCAACAACAGCACAAGCAGTTATAATGCTGGCGATACAATAAAAGTAAGTTCCAAGAGAATGAGGTGTTTTATGCAGATTATCTTTAATTCCCGCACCATACATGTAGACTCTTGATCATGAATGCATATTTTGGTTGCTTTTCTGTGTATTCGGCAGTGTTCTGGAAGTTCATCCGGAGCAGAAGGAGCAGTCAGAGAGCTGTTCTTCTTGTTGGCCTTTGTGACTCAGGGAAAACATTACTCTTTGTCAGGGTAAGCAGGTTTTTTTAATTTTTATTTTCACCTCTTTTAAACTTAACAGGAAATTTTAGAGCAACCTGTGTCCCACTGGTAAATAAAAATCAAAAAAACTGAATTTGGGAGTTCATTCTTGACTCTCTCGGGAGGAGAAAAATGCTCTTGGAAAATCCAAAAAACTTGTATTTGGTGACCATTTCTATTTCTTGCAGTTGTCAGATGGTGACATTTAGCCCTTATCACATTTAAGGGTTTTATGTACCAAAACTAGTTGCATCCTGTGGCTAAGGGTACTGGAACAGCTGAATAGACAGAAGCCAATCACAAGTATATAGTTTATAATTAATTGTGTAACAAACCCTTCTGGGCAGCTTGTCAAAAATGTTTTAAAAGGATGATTTTTCTTTCACATACGAGGCTTCTCACTAATACGTATGTTCTGGTTACCTAGTGCCGCTCTGACAAAAAATATACCACAAATGGGATGACCTTAACCAACAGGAGTTTATTCTTACTCCTTTTGGACATTCAGCCATGTCCAGCCAAGTGATGACAATTTGGAGGCTTTAAGGCCAAGTCATGCCAGGCTCTAGGGGCTGGGTGAAAGCCCCTCAACCATGGGGTCCAGCTCTGCCTCCGGCTCCCAGCCCACTAAAGCTAGAGAGCCTTTTCTTCACTTAGACAGCTGTTGGCTGCTGAGGCTGAGAAGCCCCCAAGGTTGACAAGTAAAAAGACACAGTCCCGATGTTACCAAACCACACGGCAGGCCATTAACTTTAGTCCATTGTAGTCCCAAGTTCGGCAGAGCATAGCAGGCTGCTGAGAAACAACACGACTACATGCAGGGTCCAAGCATGCCATAAGCTAGAGACCATTCCCAAGGCTTCTCCTTATATACAGGAAGCAGACCACATCCCAAAGGCAGCTACTCAGCTGCTTGTAGTAGATCCCACCATGGAGCTGATTGCGTCTTATCATGGGGAATACTACCACCAGCTGCCCAGCCATTCAGCCATGTCCAGCCAAGTGATGACAAACATAACCATCACATATGTATTTTTAATATATTTAGTATTTTTAACTGTGTATGTACATGTGTTACTATGAAGAATAGGAGGGACTTTGTTTTTATTCTTGAGAGTCTAAATTATTTCCCTTCCACTAAAGAAATAATCTCTAATCATTTTTAAAATAAATTTTTGATGATTAAAACTATTTATGGAAGATCCATAAATTTGGCCACTAACCTTAGTTTGCAAGTTGTTTTTTTCTCCCCTCCTAGTGGGAGATGGAAGGAGCTCTAGTGGTGTAGTGGTTAAGACTTGACTGCTAACCAGAAGGTTCGTAGTTCAAGCCTTCTAGCTGGTCCATAGAAGAAAGATTAGGCAGTCTGCTTTAGTAAGGTTTTGCAGCCTTGGAAACCCGATGGGGGTTGCTGTGAGTCAGAATCAACTCGATGGCAGTTTGATTTGCTTTTTTAAGTGGGAGAGGGAAGGTGCTCTAGTGATGTAGTGGTAAAAGCATTTGGCTGCTAAACAAAAGGTTGATGGTTTGAACCCTTCAGCAGCTCCATGGGAGAAAGATGTGGCAGTCTGCTTCCATAAAGATTCACAGTCTTGGAAACCCTATGGGACAGTTCTCTCTCCTAAAGGATCTATATGAGCTGGAATCGAGTTGATGGCAGCAGGTTTAGTTGTAAGAGAAATGAAATTTGCAATATTTTACTCTTATCTCTCCCGTCTTGTTTTTTACAGTTGTTAACAGGTCTTTACAGAGATACACAGACTTCCATCACTGATAGCTCTGCTGTATACAGAGTCAACAATAATAGGGTAAGATATTTTTGGAGTATTAGAGTCTCACAGGGTTATTTTACTGTAGTTGGGAAGTAATTTCCAGGATGTACTGAGAGTGTAGGCATTTGTAAGTGATTTTTATGGAGAAATATAGTCCATGTGACGAAGTCTGCTCTTGACCATACATACTTCAGATTTCATTAACAATTAAAAAATTGTTAAGCCTGCTTCTGTTTTGTTGTACTTTCTGCACATTGATATTACATCATGATTTATTCATATTTTTTGTTTTTATGTCTTTCCAATTTTACTATGAGTTCTTAAGGGTAGATATTAAGCTTTTGCTTTTCATTGTCTTTTGAATGGGTAATATGTGTTCATATGTTCCCAAGGTTAAAAAGATATTTGGTGAAAAGTAATTTTGCTGCCTCTATCCCCCAAACCCAGGCTTCCTCCTTAGAAGCAGTAACTTTTACCATTTTTATGTGTAACCTCCAGATGTTCCATGCATGTAGAAACATACATGTATATATTTCCTTTAATTTTTTTTTTTTTTTTTTTTAATTTAACAATATAGCTGATACAGCTTAGGCTTTCCCCCCATGTTGCCTTGCCACCTGGCTCATTTATGAGCTGTGTACTACTCCGTTGTGTGGCTGTACCATACATTTTTATTTAATCAGAGACTTATTAATGGGCATTTAGTTTTATTCATTGTTACGATACTTTGCTTTTACAAACAATGCCATAATGCTTATCTTTAAGAGTATATTTCAGAAATACCAAAAAAGAATCATGGGAAAGACTTTTCATGTGCCTAGCTAGCTCCAGAATGTAGGCAGTATCTGCTAAGTTGGTAATGATGCTTACGTGGGGGTATTCCAGAGTATACTGTAGACCAGTGCTTTCCAATAGAGTAGCCACTAGGCATGTGTGGGTACTGAGCACCTGAACTATGGCTAGTCCAGATTGAGGTGTGGTGTAAAATATATACCAGATCTTGAAGACTTAGTACGAAAATAAAGAATGTAAAATATCTTGTTAACAATTTCTTGTTTTTGTTATATGTTGAAATAATATTTTGTCTAAAGTGGATGAATAACTTTATTCAAATTAAGTTCACATTTTTAAAAAAAATTTTTGAAGTATACTGTTGTTGTTTTGTTATATGCTGTTGAGTCGGACCCGACTCATAGTGACCCCTCCTTGGGTTTCCGAAGCAGTATCACTATGGAAGTAGATTGCCCAACCTTCCTTCTGAGGAGTAGCTGGTGGGTTTGAACGGCCAGCCTTCTGGTTAGCAGTCAAGTGCCTTAGGCACTATGCTACCAGAGCTCCTAAGAGACAGCCCGGCTACCTGGCCGGGAGCGGCTGGTGGATTTGAACCGCCAGCCTTGGGTGTGGCAGCTGACTGCCCGAGGAGGCCCTGAGGCCATCCCTAGGGCCTAAAGTATACTAGAAAATTTTAAAATCACACATATGACTTACACTATATTTATTGAACAGTGCTGCTCTAGAACATTTAATAGTTGATTTAGGCACTTCATGGGATGAGGGCAACCTTCTTTCCTCACTCCTCCTGTCCCCTTATGTTTTAGATCTAGTCTCACTCTCTAGATAGTAATGAATCTTTTGCATTTCTTATCGTGTGTAGTGCAATACTGATTTTGAAATGGAGCAGTAGGTCCCAACTTGGGATCCTTGGACTCTCATCAGTATTTAAAACAAAGAGACTACTTTGGCATCATATATTTACGCATAAAGGGCCTCCATAAACTAACCAGAAGGTCATAATAAATCCAACTGGAATTGTGTGAAATCTGTGTGTGATGCTGACTCCCTCCTGCTGCCAGTGGTTATGGTTTCCTGTGGATAAAGTAGAACATCTGAGCAGCGATCAGTGGCCCTGATACATGTACCAGAGCCACATCTACATTGAACGTGAGGTCAAGGATGAGGGCCTGCAGTGGTGAATAGGACTTAGGTGGATGCTTAATTGGATCACAACTTGTCTGTTTCCCTGATTGCAGTCTGGATCAAGAATTGACATAAACATTTGACAAAGTGGAACAAATAAATGGTGTATCTGCTAGACAAATATTTAACAGTGGAAATGATAAAAAGGGCTTTGTTGTTATAAAGATTGGTACATGATACATTGGTATCATGCTATGTGATAAATTTTAGACTCTTAAATTACGTTATTTAATTTGTGAATCATTGTTACTGTTTTTTGTATTTAATCATACTGGAATATTTCCTTAGCCTCAGATGGACCACACTTCCCTAACTCCCCCAGACAGGGTCAGGTTTCTTATGTACCCTCAGAATATTTATGAAAGTTATAATTCCAAATATATATGTAATTTTACATTGTGTTGGTCTTCCTCATTATACTATAAACCTTGTTAGAACAGGGGCTATATGTGTTTTTACTCATTGGTATATCTCTGCTTGACTGATTTATAAGTCAAAGATGTTCGGTGAACATTTGTTTGAATCCTTAATTAATTACATACCAGTCTGCTACCTGAAATCTGATACTAAATGTCCATGTTGTGAACATGGAACTGGACTCAAACATTAATGTTATTTTTGCCATCCTCAGGGTAATAGCTTGACCTTGATTGACCTCCCAGGCCATGAGAGCTTACGACTTCAGTTCTTAGAGCGGTTTAAGGCTTCAGCCAGGTAAGTAGGAAGGAATGGTATGGATCTGTCTGAAGTCTCTATTGAGGCCTTGGTTATACTCCAGAGGGAGCATGGGGATCCTGGAGTGGAGAGAGTGAAAACCATGGGGCCAGTCAGTCTAAGTTGCTTTTGTGAGGGTTACATAAGATCATGTTTAAAAAGTGTTTCTTAGAGTGTTTGAAAAGTGTTAACTCTTATAACTGTTGTTAGTAAATTTTACATTTACTCTGACGATATAAATTTAATGATGTGTAGGACTATTAAAATCTTAAGAAAGAATTTTAAGAAGGGTCTTAAAAGTTATTAAAATCCAACATTATGTAAGTCAGTTCCTAAATTACCTAAAGTTAATGCCTCAAGGAATTCAGAATGTATTTCTTGTGATACCCACTATCAGTTATTCACTCTTAAAGTTCTTTTATAAATTTCTTGTGCTGAAGTTTAAGATGCTTGTTTCTTATTTGCTCTTTTACACTGATAAAAACTGAAGATGTGTATTAGTGTGCCACATTTTAACATCTTTGGAATTGGGATGCTTCTTATAGTCAATGGTGTTATGGTTTGATTGGCTGTATTTTCTGTTTCCTAGTGGCAACAGAAATAATTGTGTCTTAATTCATTTGTCTTATCTTAGGTTGATGAAATAGCATAGTTGGTTCTTCCTTTATTTTTGAAGATGTCTAGGCTTACATTTGGAGCTCTGGTAGCATAGTGCCTAAGGTATTTGTCTGCTTATCAGAAGGCTTGCAGTTCAAACCCACCAGCCACTCCTCGGAAGGAATGTTAGACAATCTACTTCCATAGTGATACCGCCTCAGAAACCCAAGGAGGGGTAGCTATGAGTCGAATCCGACTCAAGGGCAGTGCGTTTGGGTTTTTGGTTTTGGGCTTACATTTTATTATTGTTTCTTTGCCCACAAGATGGTGGTGGTGAGCAGTCTGTCACAGATGAGGAAGTTATGTATGTGATTTTCATTCTTCAAACAATTACGACAAATCTGGCTCCATGACATTTCATTGTCATTTCTTTATGAGTAATCTCTCTTTTTTGAGGGGGTAAATTTTGCCAAAATTTGGATTAAAAAATCTTTTACAAATGTTAATTATTTTACAGTTTCCAGTATAATTACTCTTTGATTCAAATATTTTGGATAAACAAGTTTTCTTCAAAATTTGAAGATAAAAATGAGTTTAAATAAGTTTTAATCACAATAAATGTAAACTGAATAAAAAGACATTTACTGTATTTGTTGTGACTACAATTTTTTTTTTTTTTAATTCTGCCTTCTGGCTTAATAAATTTTCCATAATCTCTTTTTCTTCTACTCGTTTGAAAGTACTCTATTTCTACTCTTTGTAGAAATACCCCTCCCTCCTTTTTTTTTTTTAACAGCGCATATATAACACAAGTCTAAGGAAGGTTGGGCAATCTACTTCTGTAGTGATACTATCTCGGTACCTAAGAGAGTGTGGGTAAATGGTGGAAAAGGAAAGTCTGTCCCATTAACTTACGGGGGGAAAGTTAATGGGACAGACTTTCCTTTTCCACCATTTACCCACACTCTCTTAGGTACCAGCTGACCTTGAGTTCTCTAATGAAAAAACCACGCTCACTGTCATCAAGTCGATTCTGACTCATAGTGACCCCCCATTGGGGGTTTCTGAGGTGACAAATCTTTATGAAAGTAAATTGCCCCATCTTCCTTCCAAGAAGTGGTGGGTTTGAACCTCCAGCCTTCTGGTTAGCAGTCAAATGCCTTAGGCACTATGCCACCAGAGCTCCTTTTAAGGTTTCCAGGACACAGAGGCATAGTGCCTAAGGCATTTGACTGCTAACCAGAAGGCTGGCGGTTCAAACCCACCAGCCACTCCTTGGAAGGAAGGTTGGGCAATCTACTTCCATAGCGATACTGCCTCGGAACCCAAGGAGGGGTCGCTATGAGTTGGAATCGACTCGACAGCAGTAAGTTTAGGGCATGTTATTTCACTTCTTTTTGCCTTACCCATACTACTTTCCAGTTTGTGCACCATATTTTGGTCTCACTAAAATTCAGCTCAGCTATTACATGCCTCCTTTATTTAAATGATCTTCCTGTTTGTTCCGTTTATGTCATGTGTGTATAGGTCTGTTGTAGCATTTTATTATACTGTTTTGTGTATGATAATTTCTTGGTCTTTGAGAGCCCGCATCATTTCTCATTATCTTTCCAGCTTTAGTCATTGATACATAGTAGCTCTCAACAGTTCTGTGACATGAGTATTTGTATTGTGTGATAACATGTACACACACCTCTGTGTGTGTGTGTGTGTGTTGTGTGTTATTCACTAGGACTGACTAGAAGGAATTAAGGATACTTTTTTTTTTTAATTCAAGATGATGATGCACTACTGTGTGTTCATTTGCTGGTTTTCTTATTTTCTCTCCAGGGCTGTTGTGTTTGTTGTGGATAGTGCAACATTCCAGCGAGAGGTGAAAGACGTGGCTGAGTTCCTATATCAAGTTCTTATTGACAGTCTGGGTCTGAAGAATGCACCATCCTTCTTAATAGCCTGCAACAAGCAAGGTGCCATTATGTTTTCTGGGAATAATGGAGATTTTTCTGGGATTGCTACTAAGAATTAGTACATTTATCTACAGTTTTTCTTAATGAGGATGATAGTTGCTGTGTGAACTGTAAATTCACTTTTAAATCTTAAAATCTATTTCTGTTTCTACCTTTCTGTCACTCTTCTTACCAGGGTGTTTCAAGGACAGATAACAGATACTACTACCAATTTTTCTTTAATATGTTTTTTTTTTCTTTTTTTAGTTATATATTATCTTACTTTATCAAGTTAAGTTAATTGGATTGGTAATATCATATCACATACACAGCTTTGGAGGGACAAAAAAGACTTTCCTTTCAAATAGATTTACCATCCAGCAAAATTTATCAAGAAGAGTTGGCAGAAAGTTGTTTTCCTTTAACTTGCTATTTGTTAAACATTTTCTAGTCACAACCAGTTAAACTGGGTTTTACTTTCAGTTGGATTAGATGATCCCTATAGGACTCTCTGATCAAAAATTCTGTCTCTCTGAAGAGCCCAGTGCTTTTCTTAGAAGTGATCAGGTAATAACTCTAACCATGCCAGATCAGAGATTACTACCTGCCTGTCTCTCCCTTTTTCCTATTCATTATAAGGAGGGGAGTTAACATGTGTCAGGCATCTGCTTTGTGTCAAACCAGCACTTATTTTCTTGTCTGTTGTGTACTTCGTACTTTAACATTATGTATCATTTGAGTATCAGCTGAAATAAGCTAAGTTTACTTTTAAATGACAGATGTGGTATTATCTGTATGAATGAAGGCTCTTTTTAAAATAACACAGTTGGTAGGTTTTCTTTTTGCTATACAGGCATACCTTGTTTTACTGCACTTCGCTTTATTGTGCTTCTCAGATACTCCATTTTTTTTACAAATTGAAGGTTTATGGCAACCCTGTGTTGTACATGCCTGTCGGCACCATTTTCCCAACAGCATGTGCTCACTTTGTGTCTCTGTGTCACATTTTGGTAATTCTCACAATATTTCAAACTTTTCCATAATGCTGTTGCTTACTTAATAGACTATTGTATAATGTAAGTATAAATTTTATGTGCATTGGGAAACCAAAATAGGCACGTGGCTTTCTTTATTGTGATACTTGCTTTATTGAGGTGGTCTGGAACCAAACCTGCAATATCTCTGAGGTAATGCCTGTACTGGCTAGACTTACATATGTATTAATTAAAAAGGTCTATTAGGAACTCTGGTGGCATAGTGCCTAAGGCACTTGACTGCTAACCAGAAGGCTGGCGGTTCAAACCCACCAGCCACTCCTCGGAAGGAAGATTGGGCAATCTATTTTCATAGTGATACTGCCTCGGAAACCCAAGGATGGGTCGCTATGAGTTGGATCCAACTCAACAGCAGTGAGTTTGGTTTTTTAGTTTGATAAAGTATAGAAAATAGTGAAAGAACTGAAGTCATTTTTAAGGTCACTAACAGAAGATATTTATAAGCATTATCTTAGGAAAATCCTTATGTGCAAATATAAAGCTTACTTTTGATAGGGAAAGAGCTAGTAATAAAAGCTTTTTAAAAAAATGGGAGGGGGAGTATTAATGGTTTAATATTTTCCATCTGTTTCAGAAGTTTTTGGGAATGACTCAGGTTTAAATTACAAATAACATTTTTATTTCTTTACAGATATTGCAATGGCAAAATCAGCAAAGTTAATTCAGCAGCAGCTTGAAAAAGAACTGTAAGTATGAATGAAGCCTGTTGTTTATTTATATATCTTAACCCTTAGACCTTAAGCAGCATATTCATATTTTTTCCTTTGTCTGTGATTATCACAATAAAGTTGAAGATTAGTGTAAAATATATGTATTAAGAGCTTGATTGAAGAATTAATAGAAAAGCATTAATGGGAGGCTTATAGATATTTTTAATCTTCATGAAAAGATCTCAGATTTCTTGAAATGGTTATTGTTCTGGTTACCTAGTGCCACTCTGACAAGAATATACCACAAATGGGATGGCCTTAAACAGGAGTTTTATTCTCTTGCAGTTTGGAGGCTTTAAGTCCAAGTTCATAGTGCCAGGCTCTAGGGGCTGAGTGAAAGCCCCTCAACTTTGGGGTTCAGCTCTGCCTCCTGCTCCCAGCCCACTGAAGCTAGAGGCTTTTCTTCACTCAGACAGCTGGTGGCTGCTAAGACTGACAAGCCTAAGGTTGACAAATAAAAAGGCACAGTCCTGATGTTACCAAACCACATGGCAGGCCATTAATTCAAGTCCATTGTAAGTCCCAAGGTTGACACAGCTGCATGCAGAATTCAAGCATGCCATAAGCTAGAGACCATTCTTAAAGCTGTTTCTTATATTCGGGAAGTACACCACATCCCTAAAGCAGCTAGTCAGCTGCTCCAATACATTCCACCATGGAGATGATTACCAATCTTACCATGGGGAGTTAACTATATCCAGCTGCCCAACCACTTAGCCATGCCCAGCCAAGTTGACACAAAAACTTAACCACCATAGTTATACTCACTTTATTAACCCATTGATTGTAGAAAAGTTTAAAGCCATTTGAAATTTTTGTGGACAGAACCACAAAGGAACATTTAGGAGGAATTGAAAAATGTACTGTTTTGTGTTTCTTTTCAAGCTACTTTGGTAATATCATTTAGTTCGCTTTTAGTGTTTAAAAATTTATAAATTGAGCTATAAACTTTTAAATTTTAAGGAATCTAGCATGTCTTTGTGTTCTGCTAGCTTATAAAAGCCAGCCAAAACTTTGCTGAGAGAGAAAAAATTGATTCACATTTTAATGAAGCAAATTTTATTTTTTTAGTACTTTTTTGAAAAGGATCTGATGAGGAAAAAGTATATGAATTCAACTTGTAGCATATTTTTTTCCTCTGATTTCTTTACTCCTTTAGTCATTTAAAGAACACCTATAATGCATCTACTATGTGCCAAGTCCTCACTCAGTCTGTGGCCATAGGAAATATGACCCAGTTCCTCTCACTCAGGAGCTTAGAGCCTGGTAGAGTATGGTGTGCATCAGGAGTTTGCAAACTCCTGCCCAGGGGCCTGCAAGCTAAGAATGGTTTTATATTTTTAAAGAGTTGTTAAAGAAAAAAGAAAGTCACAGAAGCTGAATGTGGCCCACAAAGCCTAAAATGTTTAATTTCTGGCCCTTTACAGAAAAATTTTGCCGGTCCTGGTTAAATCATCTTTAGAGGTTTCTATTCCTTCTGAAGTTTCATTTACATCATCTTTTCTTCCCGTAACGCTTAATGCTTACTCTCTTGGGACTGTACACATTGCCTGCTATCAGGCTGAGGGAATTCAAATGATTAGATGACTGGTTTTTCTGAAAATTCAACCGCAATTCTTAGGAATTGTTTTGGGGAACAGAGGTTATCATGATGTTGTTGGTGCATCAGTTTGTTTTGTTCTTATTCTTTTTAAACAGCACAGTCTAAGTCTTCTAGTGTTTAAAGGACATGTTTTCCTTACTCCATTTGCTTTTCACTATAAAGAACCATAGAAATACAAGTGAAGTGAATTGATGAAAAGTTGTAAAGTTTAACATTTAGTTAAGTTAGTTTAATCCATTGAGAAGATTATGCCCCATCAGCTTTGAAGCACTTCATAAATGGAATAACAAGGCTTACTGTATCTATACGACCCTCTGGCAAAAGCTAAATACATGTAATGTTTTTCCTCTTTTTCAAAAATTTGTTATTGTAAAATAACCTTACATAGGAGGATAACTAGGACAGATGCAAAGAGTTTAAAGGATACTAAAATGATACCCATGCACCTGCCACCTTGCTTAGAACACCCTGTGTGTTTTCCCCAAAAGCTTTTCCCTCTTTCCCTCCAGGTGTAAGTAATATCCTGAATTTTGGGTTAATTATACGCTGTTTTTAAAGTACTCTTATTATGTGTGTCCCTAAACCAAGGCATTGTGTAGTTTTACCTAAGGGTTTTGCACCAAGTTTCAAATCTGCTAGAATTAAGCAATGCTTTATTTTGTAAAAAGTAGATAGGTATCATGTATTCCTCTGCTCCTTGATAGCAGGCAGAGTGAGGGAGGTAGAAAAAGGATTGCTTCTAACAAAGAAAAATTAGTGTTGCTTACATCTGTTTAAGAAGCCCTGGTGGCACAGTAGTTAAGCATTTGGCTACTAACTGAAAGGTCAGCAGTTCAAACTTACCAGGTACCCTGCAGGAAGAAGATGAGGCAGTCTGCTTCTGTGCCGATTATAGCCATCTCTTTATTCCAGCCAGCAGGTGGCAGTAAGGGAAGGTCTTAGTGGTTAAAGAGGCTAGAGAATAGTAATTCTGCTCGAATTAGACATGAGAATCTGGAGTTTATGGATTTCTAAGCTTCATATCCAAATAGAATCAAGATAAAAATAAATACCCTATCTACCCACACTTACTCCCAGAAATGAAATTTTCTAACACTGTAGCATGTGCTTTATTTAAAATGACGTATTTCAAAATGGCATCATCCATGAGATCCTAATTGTAGGGGCATTGGGCTGACAGGTTGTGTTGACATGGGCCCACTAGTGACCTGTCATTAGCCATGTAAGATTGAGCCCATCTCACCTGTCTGTCCAAGAGAGTGGTCTACAGATACAAGGGATTATTATTGTCAGGTCAGATCCAGCTCACAGTGACCCCGTGTACAACAGAACACAACACTGCCCGGTCCTGCGCCAGCCTCACAATCCTTGCTATACTTGAGCCCATCGTTACAGCCACTGTGTCAGTCCCTCTCATTGAGGGTCTTCCCCTTTCCCACGGGCCCTCCACTTTACCAAGCATGATACCCTTCTGCAGCGAATAGTCCCTTTTGACAGCACGACCAAAGTAGGTGAGGTGAAGTCTAGCTATTCTCACTTCCAAGGAGCATTCTTGCAGCTATACTCCTTCCAGGACAGATTTGTTCCTTCTTCTAGCAGTCCATGGTATTTTCAGTATTCTTTGCCAACACCACAGTTCAAAAGCATCACCTCTTCTTAGGTCTTCCATATTTCTTCTCAGGTCTTCCATATTCATTGTTCAGCTTTCACATGAATTTGAGGTGATTGAAAATACCATGGCTTGGGTTAGGCACACCTTAGTCTTCAAAGTGACAGCTTTGCTCTTCAACACTTTGAAGAGGTCTTTTGAAGTGGATTTGCCCAATGCAGTATGACATCTGATTTCTTGATTGCTGCTTCCATGGGTGTTGATTGTGGAATCAAGTAATATGAAATCAAGGGACTGTTAGACAATCTTAATAGTATAATTGATGGTTCTATGATTAAGTATTTGAGCGGTGAAATATTTAGGAACTAAAATGGTTTCTTAAAGTCTTTTAATTGCTTCATAAAAATTAAACTGTTTTTGCTTCCTGATTTGTTTTCCTTTTGCCTCCTAGCAACACCTTACGAGTTACCCGTTCTGCTGCCCCCAGCACACTGGACAGTTCCAGCACCATCCCTGCTCAGCTGGGAAAGAAAGGCAAAGAATTTGAATTCTCACAGCTGCCCCTCAAAGTGGAGTTCCTGGAGTGTAGTGCCAAGGGTGGGAAGGGGGACAGTGGCTCTGCGGACATCCAGGACTTGGAGAAATGGTTGGCTAAAATTGCCTGAGCAGAACGCTTGGATTTGTATGTGACTGGCAGTTTTGGAAAAGGATCTTCCTGGGAGTCGATAAAGAAGGGGTGCAAAATATGGTTAGAAACAGTTCTTGTTCCAGAAACAAATTACTGTTGAACCAGCTTAGGATTTTTTTTTTTTTTTTTTTCAGTTCAGTTCTCCTTTATTGCTCCCTTTCAGAGTGTGGTCATTTATATTTGCCCTTGTGTACTTTCCCTCTTAAGGTATATGTAACATCCCTTTAGCTTATGCTAAAGGTCGAGGTCTTTGTAACATAACAGGCAGACTCTGCATAGAGAGAATATTACCATGAGAATATGGTTTTAACCTGAAAAGTTTTCTTATCCTATGTGCTTTAGTCCCTCCTTCTAAGAAGTAAATCTGCCTATTTATGTAACCGGTTCATTTCCAATTGCCCTTTCATGAGTAATACATTCCCTAGTCCTCTGAATTCTCAAATTTCTAAGTACAGTTACAGTATGGTTTTTCCCTCATTTAATGGCAGATAGAAAACAGCAACAGAGTGGAGATGTGAATGCCGGGCAATGGGCTCTGTTCTTCATCAGCTCAGTGATGTGTCCACACTCCAGCCTTTAGCACTTAACGTTTCAGAAACTCATGTTCATGAAGCTTTCGAGTCATTCCCAGATGATTAAACTGTAAATACTAATCACCAGATGCCTAGAGTCTAGTGTGTTCTCTATACTGAGGAATATAGGGGAGATTTCGAAACTGTTCCCCTTCCACTGGATGGCTGGCACTCCTGGGCTACAGCAGTCAAATGTGTTCTCTGTTCTGGTGGTAGCCTTTTATGGCCCTGCAGCTATGCAGACAAAGTAGTTCCATTTTTTCCTGAGGTGGAAGGCAAGTGAAAAGAGGGTTGTCAGGTCATGAGAACAGGTAGATTGCCTATGACTGTCACGTATGTGACACCTTTGCTCGAAACAAACACAGCAGTGTCTGAGCTACCCCTTGTATGTATGAACATCAGGACCTGCTTCCAAAATAGCTGCCACATGGTACAGATGACCCTCTTTCCTAAGGCTGTGGAGAGATGCCATTTGTGGAGGGGCAGCTGTGATGGATAAGCCACGGGCACTCTTGGGAGCTGCTACCACATTCTGAAATGGAATCTTCCTGTGGGTGGAACATGTAGACTGAGAAGGCTCTAGGTACTGGCCACATAGTTCTTATCTCAGGCTGGGTTCCCAAGAGAAGCAAAACCAATGAAACTTAGAGAAAGAGAAATTTATCTTAAGGAAATGGCTCGCACAGTTGTAGGGGCTGATGAGTCCCACGTCTGTGGCTCAGACGTCAAGTTGGAGGTTTCTCTTGACACTGGCAGGAGTTAATGAACCCAAGATTGGCAGGCAATTCAGTAGGCTTCAGAGGCTGGTAAAATGGCAGACTGTTGGTTCACAGGCTGTGAAGGCGATAATCCCAGGATTGGCAGGCAGTACGGCAGGCCACTGGTTCAAGTCCAGGTGGTGATGAGCCTGATACAGGATCTGGAGCAAAAAGCCAAAGAGTTTTGCCACAGCTTTTCCATATATATATATACACTGGAAGCAGGCCACACCCCTGAGGAAACTAAACTCCCTTTCAACTGACTGGCTGTATCATATGAGACAACTGCTTGAAACAAACACATAGTATCAGGTCTCATCATGGAGAATGACTACATCATACCTACTAAGCCACTGAGAATCCGCCCAGCCAAGTTGACACACAACTTTTAACTATCATAGTTCTTTATTCTGGTTCTTCTTTCAAGCACCTTTTCAAAGGGTTCTGGGGCTTTGGTAGGCTCTCTGCTGCCAGGAGCCCAATAGCTTGCAAGATGTCCTAATTCCTAATCAAGAATAGCTGCTGTTTGTAGGAAGTTTTGGGGGTCTGCCACTTACCTTCCTGTGCCCCTGTATCAGTGCCTCCTGAGATTCCAGCGTGAGGTATTTGACCATGTGCTGTTTGAGATAATTTCAGCTGGATTATTAAACCTTTTCATTTTGGGTTTAGCACAAAATTATCAAAGCTTCAGTTGGCCTATGCCCGTATCAGCTGGAGGATATCAGCAGTTAAGATGCTTACCTCCTCTATTTCAGTCCTTCAAATATATTTAAAGAAAGGTGATTTTGCTCAGGAAAGTAATTCCATGTCCTTTTTCAATTATAAAACCATAAACTGTTGATTACTCACAAGAACTTTGTATGCATTCATTCATTTATTCAACAAAATGCCATTTTAACTGGGCCAAACACTGCACTAGGCCCTGGAAATAAAAAGCATGATTCCTGCCTTTAGAGGCATTTGGCCCCATCTGAGGTTAAAAAATGTGCCTTTTCAGAGTGTAACTAATCCCTGTTCTCCTCCCATCTCTGTATTTGTGTGAATTCCACCATGACTGCACTGGTTGGCTCCATGGTCAGCTGTTTCAGTGCTGCCCACATTTCCTTGTCCTGCTGTGCCAGCCAGGCAGCACCAACAGGGGCTGCCGCTTTTCTTCCCATAGTCCCTGAATCCGGTGCCTCCTGACATTCCAGTGTTCCTCTCTGGGCCTGCTATGGGTGAAGCACTTGGTGTTGTAGATACTTGAGATCATTTTGTTTCAGCTGGAATTTGCTTTTTCTTCTTTCACAAACTTTTATTTTATTTTTTAAGCATGTTGTTGTTGTTGTTGTTATGTGCCATCGAGTCGGCCCCGACTCATAGCGACCCCTCCTTGGCTTTCCGAGGCAGTATCACTACGGAAGTA